TTTTTTTTTTTTTTAATGTAGAAAAAGAATAATTTGTCGCGTTTGTACACAACGGGCCCAGTATGTTTCGATGCTGGATTAAATATGGTTCCTGTCGGATGTCTGCAATTGCTGTTTTTACGGCACAAAACGATAATGGCGCTCGTAACCGTAATGCAATACAGTTTATATATTTGCGAGGCCCGTATTCCTTTAGATCCCCGAAAAAGGAGAAACGCGTGTCACGTGAAATCCAGATGGAACCGGTTTTCGGGGCCATCGGGTCCAAGATACGCACAACGGGGCCCTGTCCTGCTCCTGAAATCCTTGTACCTTCCTCTGTCCGATGCGCTCCACCAGGCTGTTCTAGTAAAACGAGATTTTCGACAGCCTTCGTGCTCGATTCCTCCGTATCATCCTCCACGTATCGGATTATAAACGACGCGTGTAATCGAGAAGAGATTCCTCCGCCATATACGTGGACTGTGTCCTTCGCTCTACGATTTTCCAACAGAGGGAAACGATCGTCCTGTTTCTGTAGTCGAGAGTCTACACGTGATTTTGTCTGGCATTGATGACATGGAAATTGCCTTGCCGAGAGTACGAAGGTGGAGGGAAATTAAAATTTAAGACAGTCGATACTGTTCAGAAAGAAACCTCCGCCAATTAACGCGTCGATGAAGACGTATCTGCTCGCAGTATGCCCGGCCAGACGTTGTCTCTCGTGGCAAGAAGGTTCTCGGAGGTAAGGAAAGAATATATGCGGACTGAGCGTATGCGGCGTGTTCCGAGTAAACGAGACGACGGCATATCCTCTTACGTAGGTATTCCAGACAGGATCCTGCGTGAACGAAGGAAAAAAGAACGACGAGGAACACGACACGCATGTCGAACACCGGCACCTACACGCCACAATACGCTCGTCCTTTCCTGCTCGCATGATACGGATGAAAGAATGTCTTTCGACGCGGACAGTGTTAAAAGCAGGAATAAATCTGTGAAACAGATTGGCCACACGGCGGATTTCTAATCACGTTGTTCTATCTAAATTTGACAAATGGCCAGCGTCGAAGCGTCTGCATTGGTACGGTAGTATGGACGTACATAAGTAGAGGACGACGATAATCTCTGTCTTTTGTAAGAAAAGTTCTGAAAGCTTTATAAAGTTAAGGTAGTAATACTGGGAGAAGTAATACTGGGAGAATCGGTAGAGACGGTGTATTCGTGGAGTCGCGACGATCCACGGTCACTCAGGACTCGTTTGCCTAACTTCCGGTGGTGCGCCAGTTAGCCCGTCACGAACCGTTCCAGTGTGTATATGGCCTGAATAATGCATACAGAAATGGAGCGAGGTGGGTACCTTCTAGGAGCGAGTTGCCAGAGAGGAAGAGAGAAAGAAGCGAGAAGGAAAGAGCAACGCAAAGAGGTAAGGGGAGATACGCGGCGCAAAGAAAAGGATTAAGAGGGAGGATTTTGAGCTTGCAAAAAGAGAAACAGATCTGCAGGTCCAAGAACCGACCGATGTTTGCAACGCAATAAATAGACAAGATCTGACAGCGTTTGTATCTCCGAAGGAGCAGAGAGGATTCGGCAGAAGCACGTGCACACAAAAAACGAATGAAAGCGAAGAGTGAATGCGGAGGATTGTGAAATGATGAAGAGGGGAAGAAAGGAAGAGATAGGGCATGTGAATCAGTCGGAGAGAAGGAGAAAGAAAAATCAGGCAGGGATTCAAATGAACGTGAATGTTGTTCTAAAAATTCGCCCGTTTTATTTCGTTGTAGATAAGTGGTCTCTTCGTTTCCACGCAGAGGTAAACGTATGTGTACGCGATGGGTGTATCCCGGAATATATGCGATTGGTACAATGGTTTTAACAAGCATCTTGGCGAAGAGGCGACGTCAACTAGGATCAAAACGACTTTTATCGTATCAACCGTTAACACAGCGAGGAAATTTAGCGAAGTGAACGCTTCTACCCTTTCGAGGAACGAGAATGAGGGCTGGTTGTACATAATATGTAAATAGTTGGAACCCGAGGCGTTTATATCCGAACGATGTATAAAGAAGGAAAGGATCAGACAGAGCGGTTAACTGAAGAGGCGGGGAAACACAAGAAGAGTGGAGGATAGAGGCTAAATATAAACGTCGGAGGATCTCTTTGAATGGGGAGAAATTTGATTTCGAAGATAAATTTATTTATTGTCGGGCCTGTCAAAGAAAATCATAAACCACGTTGTGTCTATGAAATGCAAAAAATGGAATGGGCAAGTGCGTGGAAAGAAGAAACGGGCAAAATGCTGAAGAGATAAACGAACCGAAGGATGAAAGCAAAAAGCGCCGAAAGAATGAGTCAGCGAGGGAAAGAAAGAAAGAAAGAAAGAAAGAACGGATAAAGGGACAGTGGCGAAGATAAAGAATACAAAGAGGAAAGCCGCTGGAAGAAAGGCAGTTAGAGGGTTGGTCAATTTTTCTTAAAAATATCCTGCAGCGTGGTGTGAGTCTGGAGAGGAAATAACTGAGAGAGAGAGAGAGAGAGAGAGAGAGAGAGACTGAAGGAAGAAAGGTGATGGCGTGCAAAAGGGACTGCAGGAAAACAGAGAAGGAAAGGGATGACGTAGGGTAGCATGGGAGTACGAGAACGAGTAGTAGTAGTAGAGGTCGTCGATACGATACGCAGCGGCCTCTTGGAGAAGAGGTTGGGGTAGGCTCGCCCAACCCTCCACCTCCATCCACCTCGGTCGAACTTCCCCTCGACCTCCTCTTTCCTCCCTGCAAAACCTCACCCCGACCGAGGTCGATCGATGCCAGACAGTCCTGTTCACACGACCAAATCCCGCCGAATACACATCGTCCCTAGAAGTTGGGGTAGGGTAGAGCTCCTAGCTCTAACGCTAGCTCTTTGACTCCGTACTAGCACTAGCCCCTTCCCCTCCCTCCTTTTCTCTTTCATCTTCTCCACCTCCTTATCTTCGTTGTGTCGTTGCCATGAGTTTTGCTTCGACTTCTCCTTCAGCTTGTTCCTTCTTGTCCTCGTCCTTCTCGTCCTCCTTAGTTTCCTTTTTGCTCGCATAGTCGACCACGATGTCATTATCCACGTCGTGTCTCGTCGTGACACACAGAGCCGCCAAATATAGCCGTCATCAGTTTCCAGTTTCGTACACCAGCTTTGCACATCCACCGTTCCATTTTCTTTCCCTCGTTCGGGATTACAAACTCAACCACGAAAAATGATTCAGCCACGTGGCTAAACTTCCTTCTTACTTGTGCTCCGCGACCACAGTATATCATCTGCGTGCATTCTCGTGCCGCGGCATCAAACGCAGCGACGTCGATTCCATCAGGTCCGATCAGGTCGTTTTTTTTCTTTCAGACCTTGACCTTTGTTCTCAGCGAACTTTCCTCGACTATTCATATTGCTCGCGCGCAAAACTATTCACTCATATATGCTATACGATATATAGCGTTTTGTCCAGAACGTTACAGATCAGTAGACCAAATTTCAAAAATTCATCTTTCAAGAGAAAAGTGCATGTTTCAAAATATGTATCTAAATATATCTCTAACGTTCACGTCGTTTCTGCAACATCCGCTTACGCGTGTGTAGGATTCAACCATTCGTACATTGATACTATTGATTCTCTCCACAAATATCATTGTACAAAACCCATTGTTCCAGCCTTCGAAATCCATGACTTCGAGAATTTCCAGTACCCTAGTGTCGTCGTTTTATAAGAAACTAGCTAACGCTAACGTTATACCAAAGAATCGTTATGTAAACGTGGATGATGAAGTAAGTTTTGATATTCTCGACTTTTCGACTATTTGTCCGAACGAAGATCCGTTGGATTGATTTACCGTTGAACGGTCTATGTATACGCAGGAAATGTACAAGGGGTCCTGAACGAACGAGCGAACGGATGAACGCGCATTGGGTTTCGGCCAAAAGGAAAGCGTTGCTCACTCAAAAGAAGCTAGGGGAACGAAGGGACGAATATAATTAATAGGTCTGCAAAATTTTTCGTACGAGGGACACATGATTCCTCCTTGGGATCTAGAGGGGCGACGGTGCGCCGAAGATAATTCGATAGAATCGTTAAGCTCTCTACTTTCCCGAGTATTCGCCATTGATAAATTTACAATATTCAGAAGAACATTCCTTCCCAGAGCACGCTCAATCACCGTGAAGTTTCTTAACCATCGCTTCGTTTTTGTTTTCCTTCCTCCTTTAGAAATTTCTAAATTCTCCAAAGATTCTAATTACGCTAATTCGCATGTAGCGAATTTCTTCTGGCAGCTTCTAGTTCCGAGAACAGCCTAGTCTTCCCCAGTGAAAATCTTCCGTTTCGTTGCAGACGAACTTGTACGTGAAGATAGCTAATCTCCGATCACTCACGGGATTTCGCGCACACCCCGTATGTTAAGAGGAACGCTTTGTTCAGTATAAAGAAAGTGGAGGAGGAAACTCGGTGCATCTAAATATAGAAGTGACCGTCGCGAGGAGCTGTATAACCTTTAAGCAACGTTCACACCGCCTCTTGACCATGTACTCTTGTCCAGATACTCTCGAAGAATTCGTCAGTGAATGGTAACCATAGTAGGTGTTGAACAAATGATAACATCAACCTCGCTATTGCCGATTGTTACGCTAATATCTAGTAATTGAGGAAACTGTTTTCGAGTTTCATAGCTCGATGCGAAAAATCGCCGTTCGCAGGTGCGAACGGTTGTCTGTCGCGACAAGCAGTCGCCGGGAGAAAGGAAAAGAAAGGATTATCAGCCAGGTCTCGTTACCCCGCCACGTAAACGTTCGTTCACCCAAGTACGAGTATATGCCACTTGCGCGGCAACGTCTCGCCTATGGCGACGGTGTTTATGAACGGTGGAGGAAGGAGGCGAGTTCGAGGGAACGATTGCTCGCATTCCGATGCCTCTGTCATCACACGTGTGCCTGCTTGAGCGCAATTCACGAAGCGACGATATGTAGAAAACGATACTGACCGATCGATAATACTAGCGATTGTGGTCGCGATCGTTGATGAAAATCGAACACGCGACGCGTTCTTCTTTATCGACTCGCATCGCTTTGTTCGTCACAGCAACGATCGTCCTACAAACAATCGAGGAATTTGCGGAAGAGAAGAGAAGCGAGAAACCATGGCGAAGATTCGACCGGGGATCGATTCGACCGCTGAAAAATTTATAACGATCGACACGTCCTCCTATTCGATGTGGGTAATTTATTGAAGTAATCGCGAGCTTCTCGCTATCACGATTATGTATCGACAAGCGACTTTAGTATCTTAGTCTGCCGGCCATGTTGAAGAATGAAAAGAAGATTGGTTTCCTGGATGGTTGAAGTCACTGCGATTGTTATCGTAGTATGGGTCACCTTCGCCGCGTTTCGTAGATAAAAGAAGACGGAAAGAGACGGGAATATCGATTCTCCTGTACCGGATTCGTCTTGGCATAGATTCAAATTAAACGTCGCACTTTTGGACACTCCAAATTCGAGAAGGAGGCTCGCGATTCACAGTGGAACGTCCTCGTCGATTCGGGCACGATTTTCCCTCCCTTAAGCAGAGAGAGAGAGAGAGAGAGAGAGAGAACACGGTTCGTTTTGCGATGACGTGACTCGGAGTTGGTGTGGCCGATCGATTTCGTCGAATCGTTTCGTCGTCTCCGAGGGACGAAAAAAGAGGGAAAAAGGAGGAAAAGCGATGTGTGAGAGGCTTTCTTGCATGGGACTGGTACGGTGGGGGACTCGGAGACGTCCCTGAGTGGAGCAGGGACTACTGGCCCAAGGACGTCGCGGGGCCCAGATTCTATTCTTCTCCTCTCTTTCTCGCCATGTTCACGTTTCTTCCTCACTCTCTCTCTCTCTCTCCCCCGTTCGTTTCCTTCATATGCCCTCTCCATGCTCTCACGCGCCATGAACACGTTTCTCTTGTTCTTTCTAAGCGTTCGTTCGGCCCTCTCTGGCCATATATCTGGCCTTTGCCTTTTAGCAATTGGTCCGCTGGCTGGGCTGTCTGCTCTATCTTGAGATGATTCTCTACGACACGCTCGTTCATAGGGCCCCATGTCTTTCTTCTCTTTTCTACCTACGCTCTTCTCCCGTCTTCCTCTTTTTCTGGCGATTCTCCGGTCTCCTTTTAGCCTGCGAGAGAGAGCCTCCTTTCCCATTTTACGACCAACACAAGTGCACAGCCAGGTACGTACATAGATGAGTTCGTACGAGCATGGGCAAGTCTTCTCGAGTTGTGTGTCCTTCGAACCGTTGCTGCCCCACTCGGCAGTTAGCAACAGCACGGTTGCCATAGCCGGAAATACCGGGTGTTCGAGTCGTACTGGGCCTGCTGCTGCCTAACAAAATGGGACCGACGGGCATACAATGATTAACGGCGAACTCCACGCACGATATCCCCGAAAGCATCGAATTCGTGAATTCGTCAAAAGCCAATAGTAATTTCCCTCCGGGCAAACTACTCGACCTTCAAAAGTAGCCTAATTTGTACTTGAAATTTTCGCGCTTACGATGAACCTTATAACAATCGTGGAAACGTAATTGACAATCCAGC